TGAAACAGAGTTTCGAAAACAAATGAAACAGTTAAATGCTTCAAAAGTAAAATTGGTAGTCCAAGGATGTAGGCATACCTTGCCAAGTCTCTATAGGACATAAAGCAAGTTTTTCCTACTGAATTTAGTATGATACTTACAGAATTAGCGAACTTTTGTGCTCTGAAAAGTAAGCTAATTCCCTACCGTTGTATGTATCATCATCTCTGACTGACGTGTAGGGGTGCGAGTTGTCAACTGGTGACGAGAACTGCTGCTGAGGTCCCAATTCAGCAACTAAAGTTCGAGCTAGAGGAACTATGGCCCTCTTTGTCCTCCTACAGTCAGATTGCAGAAGATTGGGTACTCTTGACCCGGGGCAGACCACAGTACCAGGGTACCAATATGATGATCTGTCAAAATGAGAAATATTCAAGGGACATAGATGGTAAACACGAGTAATAACACGGAGGGAGAGATGACCAATTAAGAGTATGACTGCGGCCTACAATCACCACGTAATCCAAAGTTGTCTCACCTTCACCATATGTTACTCTCGTAATGCACAATACACCGCACCTTATAAAAAATGAAATTAAATATGAAAAATAGTAAAGCTACGTTAACAAATTTAAATACGCTTACCATAAATTACCACTTGACACCAGTACCTGAGTGAAGCTCCCGGACAGGCCCCCATATAACTTGTGACGGTAACGCGTTGGTGTTCGGCTGTTTAAGGCTAGGGGTATGGCCTCGTCACATAGTTATAAAAAAAAAGAGAAAAAACTGGAACTTCGTCTGTGGTAAGGTAAGGAGAAGACACACAAAACACAAGTAAACTTTAACAATGAAATTTTAATTACGTTAAATAAATCAAAACATGAAAAAAAGGGACAAACAAATTCGTATAATAAAATCAATCAATCAAAAGAATAAGAATAATTAAATGACACAATGAAAAGTTACGTTAAGACAAAATAACAAGAAGTGCAATACAAAAATAAAGGTAAGGTGCTGGAATATTGGCTTTAAGCTACCACCTCTCTCAGTATACGCTTACGTCTAGCCGGGAGAAGTGTTAACCGTGGAAGCACAGAATATTCTGAGGTCTGAGGTCGTGGCGACCCCAGACATCAAGTAGTATGGGGGGGTGGAGTGCAGTTGCAGCCCGGCCGGCGACCAATCAGCGGAGAGCCGGCAGCGATCAACAGGTAGTTTGGCGGTTTGAGTCTGAACAGGTGTCCCTGGCTGCATACGTTTTGCGCTCTGGCAAACCTTGCTGGTGTTGTTATCGTTGTTGGACATTTCTTCCCTAGTAGTTTTATATAATTTTACCGACGTAATTGTGGAGGGAAGAGCAGGCTCAATCTCTTGAAGGAGATTATCGTCACAATATATATATATTTATATATATATATATATATATATATATATATATATATATATATATATATATATATATATAATATATATATATATATATATATATATATATATATATATATATGTTTCATTGAATATGACCACATATTCTGTATTTATTATTTTCTGGTTTAGGGCTTCTATCCCTCTAACTATTTTCTTAGCATCAGGGCTTAATTGAAATAGGAGTTCTCCAAAACTCATTTTCGTACTTTTAAGGTGAAGAAAAGAAGTGATTTACTATAGAGTGTATTACACTTATTTGTATAATTTGCATGACGTTTCGAACCTCCATGGTTCATTCTCAAGTGAACAGATCTTACAATACTAGTTGATTTTATACCCGCATTAGGTCAGGTGATAATACAATGAAGGTGAAAAACATGGGGGGATACATAAGGGATAAACATAGGGGCTGCAGAAGGCTATTTGGCCCATACGAGGCATCTCCTATCTAAACACAAAGATTAATCCAGTGTAATTGGCCTGTTATGTTGGACATTGTCTTCTGTGTTGGCATCGATATGTTCTTGTCTTGTCCTTACTCTCATGGTGGGTAGAGTAAATAGTTCCGTGATTTGGGTGTATATATATATATATATATATATATATATATATATATATATATATATTAAATATGACAGTAAAAGTAAGATTAATAATTCTAACACGAATTTTCTCAATATTTCTTATGTTTCTTTTCATTGTCGATGGTAATTGAAAAATCAATTCTCCAAAATTCATTTTTATTTCTAGTCTGACATGACACTTGAACGCGTTTCGTAATAACTTACTATATTTTCAAAGACTTTAGTTAACACACACACAACTATAACCTGCAAACACTAAACATAGTTCTACAATGCTATTATTTAAACATCTTTCATCTTATATGCCCGCATTTGGGTGAGGTGATATGTTACAACAGTTTTGGATGAAGTGATCAAAACTTTCAACACAAGATAGAGCAAACTTTCAACACAAGACAGAATACAGTGCAATGGGTATAAATTGGGTAAATTAAAGGGAAGAATGGAAGTAACTGCAAAGGGCCTATTGGCCCATATTTCTTGATGATTCTATATTGGTGCGGAGTCTTGAAGTGGGTAGAATATAGTTGCGCATTAATTGGCAGTACCCGGCTACAGCATCCTTCTCTGTCCCCCAGTCTTCCTCACCATTTTCTCCTCTCCTCGGCTTCCCAACCATTCTCCACTCCACCATCCTGATGGTCTGATGTTCCCAATCAGAAAATTGGGAACATCAAGTGATCTGATGTTTCAATCACTGAAATATCAGAAAAACTGTTAAAAAATGAAATGAAAATATGAAAAAAAAAATAAACTATACGCACGAAATGAATGGTATGGTAAACAACACAGTGCAATTTTAACAAAAGTCACACAAAATAATTAAATCAAAATGAAAATAAATCAAAATCTATGAAAATTCAATTTATCAATGCAATCAGAAACATTGAACTGGAATTGTAACATATTTAGTATAGCATGTGTGTTGCTCTTTCATGCAATAGATGGCGCTGTTTGTCAAGAAAAGCATAGTTTTTCCTGTCACAGGTGTGGCATCTATACTTATACTTACGAAATGAATGGTATGGTAAACAACACAGCTCATTTCCAGCACAATGTAACACATAATTATTCAATTAAAAATAGAATATATCGAAATATATGAAAATAAAATTTATCAATGCAATCGGAATGAATGAAATGGAATTCGTGACATATTTAGTATACCGTGCATGTTGCTATTATATGCAACAGATGGCGTTGTTTTTCAAAAATGCATGTTTTTACCTGTCACAGGGGTGGCATCGATATAGTAGATATATGAAAAGACGTGCCTATTCGAATGCAACGTTGTATCAAAATTTCAAAGCAATCGATGAAGAACTTTTTGAGATTTTAGCATGTGTTGCCCTTACGTCCAACAGATGGCGCTGTTTTTAAAAAAAAAAACATGTTTTTTCCTGTCACAGGTGAGGCATGTATATAGTAGATATATAAAAAGACGCGCCTATTCGAATGCAATGTTGTGTCAAAATTTCAAAACAATCGGTAAAGAGGTTTCAAAGATTTCCTTCACCTGGAAAAACACGGTTTTTCAGAAAAAAAACATGTTTTTTATTCGTCACAGACGTGACATGTATATAGTATGTATATAAAAACCTGGCCGGATGGGAGTGGAACGTTGTGTAAAAATTTTAAAGCAATCGGTGAAGAACTTTCGGAGATTAGCGATTTTGAACAAACGAACATTTCCATTTTTATTTATATAGAAGGTAGATAGATATATATATGCATAAATGTATGTACTACTTCTTCCAAAACACAAATTGCTATTTTTGTAGTTTAAGTTTCAGGATTATGCACGAAAAAGTTTGGTTTCTTCATGAAATACCGAAAGGAAAAGCGACATTTGTTTAATTGCTCAGTGGTGAGTCAATATTGAGTTCAGTCATTTTATATAATTCTACTATGATTATTTATGTTTTGAATGACATTTGTTATACGTTTCATTATTATTGTAAAATTATTTGACATTCCTTAATGTAATTGTTTTATTCACTTGCTCTCTTCCATCTCTTTTTGTATGTACTATCTCCATCATCCCCACACTAACTCTTATCTTTATCATCTCGTCACGGTCTCCTATTTTCATCGTCCCCCGCACAACTTCCTGTCTTTATCATCCCCTCACTGCTTCCTGTCTTTATCGTTCCTTCACTGCTTCCTATCTTTATCCTCCATCACTGCTTCCTACGCTTATCATCCCCTCATTGCTTCCTATCTTCATCATCGTGCCATTGTATCCTGTCGCTATCATCTCCTTCTTGCTCTCAGTCGTTCTGACTGTCTCTCTGCCTCTTACATGTACCATTTCTTGTTCCGCCGCCTCCTATCTCTTTTCTTCCATCTACTTAAATGTTATCTCTTGGTTGTCACCGTGTTATCTATCATCGTCCACATTCCTCTTTCTCTATCACTCTCTCCCACTTTATTTGTCGACACTCTTCTCAACTCTCGCTTTCGTCATCCTATTTTGCCTTCTTCTTATATGAAACTTTTTATCCTTTAACATATATTTTATGGTATTGAATTTTAGTGTTTCTCATTCCTCCGCTCTCCCTCTTTTCCCTCTCTTTCCCTTTTCTTTATTTCCTTCTCTTTTTCTTTTCTCTCTTCTTCCTCTTTCCATCTTATTAAATTATTTTCTTCACTTTACATTTTCCAACCACTTGGGCTGGACAATGTACGAGCGAGCGACGTTCTCGCTACATGCTGGTCGGCGTTCAATCCCCGACCGTCCAAGTGGTTGGGCACCATTCCGTTTCCCGGTCCCATCCCAAATCATTATCCTGACCCCTTTCCCAGTGCTATATTCGTCGTAATGGCTTGGTGTTTTTCCCTGATAGTTTCCTTCCTTCCTTCCTTCCTTCCTTCCTTCCTTCCTTCCTTCCTTCCTTCCTCTTTACTCTCACTATCTCTCCCTGTTCCTTTCCTTTGCTGCTCTTCCAATATGTCCATACTGGTGGGTGGTGTCTCACCGTGGGTGTCCTTACTCCCTCTGTACAGGTCGCCCCGGCCCGGTACACAGCTGCAGAGTGACCAACCACACAGCCCACGGCTTCATGATACACTGTGTCTCCGGCCCACTGAGGAGTGTCAACACCCAGTACACACTGCTCGTCTATGCTCAGGTGGGTGTCTGCTGGCGGGTGTTCCGTGTCTGCTGGCTGGTGTTCCGTGTCTGTTGGCGGCCATAGTGTCTGCTGGCGGGTGTTCCGTGTCTGCTGGCTGGTGTTCCGTGTCTGCTGGCGGGTGTTCCGTGTCTGCTGGCTGGTGTTCCGTGTCTGCTGGCGGCCATAGTGTCTGCTGGCGGGTGTAGAGTGTTCGCTTTCCTGCAGAGCGGCAGGTTTATTTGTCTATGGTGGGTCCTTGTTGTTCTTGTTGGTGGTTGTGGTGGTGTTAGTGTTGTTGTTGTTGGTGGTGGTGATGGTGTTGTTGTTGTTGGTGGTGTTGATGGTGTTGTTGTTGTTGTTGTTGGTGGTGGTGGTGAAGTTGTTGTGGTTGTTGTTGGTGGTGGTGGTGGCGGTGGTGGTGGTAGTGGTGGTGGTAGGTGGTGATGGTGGTAGTGGTGGTGGTGTTGGTAGTGGTGGTGGTGGTTGTGGAAATATTGCCGGGATTGATATATGAAAACTACATAAAACTTGTATTGTACTAAATTAAAAATTACTCTGTGCAAAATTAACACAACTGAAGTCCCTAGGTAGGGTTGTAAATCCTACCTCCTCTAGTCCTAATGACAGACTGTGGGCTGTAAGGGGCATGTGTATCCTTAAGTGTGAATGAAGAAGTTGATTGAAGATCTACATTCTACCTGCAGACAATTCAACACATCAGCTGTTATGAGCCACTCTCTTCACTCTTATTTAGATAAAGAACTAGGAATTTTCCTTATATATATAGTCCAGGTACTTCCCCAGTTTCTAGAGAGCAATCATTGGTGATAATGATAAGTTAGTGTGGTGGTCTTTACTGAAAATTCATTTACTATAAACACAACAATTTAAATTGTAGAAGTATGATATTAAATGACCTTGATTGTGGTCTAAGTACTGTTAACTAAGTACTAAAGATTATTTTCAATTAGATAAACTTATATTACAAAATAAAGATAACTAAGCAAGCAATTGTTAACTTAATTAATATGTTCAAGGATATATATATATATGTATTGATATATTCAATTTATATGAAGAGGTTCAGGCATTACTATATTAATAAACTTACTGAAATATGAGGCGTTGCCTCACCCTGTAACTGGCAGACAGACTTATTGGATTTATTAAAGTTACACAAGCATATAATTGACCAATTAATAAACTAAATAACATTCAATATACTTCTCTGAATGCCGGGTGCCTGTCTGACAAGTGTGCCATACTGGATAACGCTCTTGTGGAGTTTAGGTACGATATTTAATATCACAGCTTTGCTGTATTGTTCTAGTAGCGTTGCTAATTGATTATGTCCTTAATTGCAGTTACAATAGGTTAGATAAGTGATGATGGTGGAGGTGGAGACAATGATACCTTGTGTGCTCCACTCTACACTTATTTAGATATGTTCTAGGAATTTTTCCTTGTAGATATATTGTCCAGGTACTCCCCCAGTTCTAGAGAGTAATCACTGGTGATAAAGATTATTGGATAAGATGTCCTAAGCTGAATAATTGTTCACAAGGCACCGTCACACTTGTTCACTGTTTGTAAACACACCCGTCCTGGCCTCGGGGGCCCCTGTAGGTCGCTTACTCCCGAGTTGGCTCCTCCCTTCTTTTTGGGGAAGGTAGCCTTCAATGATTACTGATTGATTATTTTTACTGTCTAGACATATGATTGAGATAAGATGTGATTATAATATAATTAGATATTGGAATTATAGATAATAAGTAGTACTTGATAGTACTACTGATTCTTATGAAGGATTTGATTTAATCCCTACTGGAAATCGATTCAACTGTTCCAAAAGTTTTTTAATTAAGAAATCCTTCTAGAAGCGTCTGGATTCTTGAGAAATCATGCACAAAGTCATGTAGAGACCTATGGTGTACATAATCATAGGTGGCATTGTCATGTATGATCCAGATGTATAATGAATCTATAGTGATTCTGATGTGATTTTGATATGCATTTGTTATGATTTAGATTTGATATAGAAATAATACATTTCTTAGATAGTAATATAGATATAGCGGTAAAAATTTCCCATATTACATAGCATATTGTTACGTTAGAGAGTGTTACGTAGGATAATGTTGCATTAGTGTTACGTAAGGTGCTGTTACGTTAAATAGTGTTATGTAGCATATTGTTCCATTAAATAGTGTTATGTAGCATATTATTACATAAGATATTGTTACGTTAGATAGTGTTACATAAGATAGTTTTACATTTGATAGTGTAACATAAAATATTGGTATGTTAGGTGGTGTTATGCCAGATATTGTTATGTAAGGTAGTGTTACATATGATAGTGTTACGTTACAAAGTGTTACCAAAGATAGTGCTACGTTAGTGTTACGTTTGATAGAGTAATGCAAGATAATGTTATGGTAGATGGCGGTACTTTAATCTGTGTAACACTAGTTAATGTTACGTTAGTGTTATGCATGACAGTGTTCTGTTACATTGTGTAATGCATGACAGTGTTTTGTTACATTGTGTTATGCATGACAGTGTTATGTTATATTGTGTTATGCATGACAGTATTATGTTACATTGTGTTACGCATGACAGTGTTATGTTGCATTGTGTTACGCATGACAGTGTTATGTTAAATTGTGTTATGCATGATAGTGTTATGTTACAGTGTGTTATACATGACAGTGTTATGTTACATTGTGTTATGCATGACAGTGTTATGTTACATTGTGTTATGCATGACAGTGTTATGTTACATTGTGTTATGCATGACAGTGTTATGTTACATTGTGTTATGCATGACAGTGTTATGTTACATTGTGTTATGCATGACAGTGTTATGTTACACTGTGTTATGCATGACAGTGTTATGTTACATTGTGTTATACATGACAGTGTTACGTTACATTGTGTTATGCATGACAGTGTTATGTTACATTGTGTTATGCATGACAGTGTTATGTTACATTGTGTTATGCATGACAGTGTTATGTTACATTGTGTTATGCATGACAGTGTTATGTTACATTGTGTTATGCATGACAGTGTTATGTTAGCGTTCTATCAAGAAAAATATTTCCCAGATAATTTGACAGGGAAAACCTAGAGACCTAGAAAGATCTTCAAACTGTGAGGTAGCTGATCTTTTTATTGTATTCAAGTGTTGGTGTAGTTATTGTTGCTGGTTCCTGTGTTGTGGAAGTTATGGTAGGTGATTCCTGTGTTGTGGTAGTTATGATTGGTAGTTCCTGTGTTGTGGTAGTTATGATTGGTGGTTCCTGTGTTGTGGTAGTTATGATTGGTGGGTCCTGTGTTGTGGAAGTTATGGTAGGTGGTTCCTGTGTTGTGGTAGTTATGATTGGTAGTTCCTGTGTTGTGGTAGTTATGATTGGTGGTTCCTGTGTTGTGGTAGTTATGATTGGTGGTTCCTGTGTTGTGGTAGTTATGATTGGGGGTTCCTGTGTTCTGGTAGTTATGATTGGTGGTTCCTGTGTTGTGGTAGTTATGATTGGTGGGTCCTGTGTTGTGGTAGTTATGATTGGTGGGTCCTGTGTTGTGGTAGTTATGATTGGTGGTTCTTGTGTTGTGGTAGTTATGGTAGGTGGTTCCTGTGTTCTGATAGTATGGTAGGTGGTTCTTTTGTTGTGGTAATTATTGTAGGTGGATCCTTTGTTGTGGTAGTTATTGTAGGTGATTCCTGTGGGTGGTAGTTATGATTGGTGGTTCCTGTGTTGTGGTAGTTATGATTGGTGGTTCCTGTGTTGTGGTAGTTATGATTGGTGGTTCCTGTGTTGTGGTAGTTATGATTAAGGGTTCCTGTGTTGTGGAAGTTATGGTAGGTGGTTCCTGTGTTGTGGTAGTTATGATTAAGGGTTCCTGTGTTGTGGTAGTTATTGTAGGTGGTTCCTGTGTTGTGGTAGTTATGATTGGTGGTTCCTGTGTTGTGGTAGTTATGATAGGTTGCTGACCACCTTTGTCTTGGTAGTTAGCATCAATCCTCAGTGATGTTCTTAATTATCAGAATCCATCTCTAGAAGGAACCTCCGTATGGCGGGAGTCAACTGAGGAGAGATCAATTATACACAACCATGATATTCAAAACATACAATAATATGAAAAAAATGGCAACTGACTCCTAGCAAAATTAGAAAAAAGTAGAGTCACAGCAAACACGAAAGATTCTATGCTAACTCTCAAGACATAAAGTATCTGTGCATTTGGTGACAGGACAAAGAACGTTATTCTCTGATCTGAAAGTGGAATACAGAACATTTTACATCCATCTATTCTTTGGATGTAGAATACTCTGCATTCTACATCCATAGATGAAGATGTTGATGTCCATCTACATCTGCTCTGTATTCTACTTGTAGAATGTCCATAATATGATAATACTTGAAACAATGGTAAGTTCGGTACTATAATATCGTCGTTGGGTCCTGTCTTCTCCGAGCGGGAAGTAGTGTCCTCGCCTCCTCAACACCTAGAAGAGTCTTACACTCTGAACCTCCTTCATAGGTGGCAGCCTGGTGCTGCTCGGGCCTCTGCTGCCTCTCATTGCTGATACCTGACACGACTCTGATGCTTCTGATTTCTGTGACACCTCTAATATCTCTGATGCCTCCATCGTCACTGTACATGTTGTTCCCATGTTCTAACGTAGCGTCGTAAGTGTTGCGGCCCACTCCTGGTGGCGGGACGGTGGAGCAATTGCCCGGGTAGCAGTTTCTGATTAATGATCCTCGTCTGCTTGTTGAAGCGAACCACCGCTCAATAAAAAAAAAACTTTCTTAACCGAAGCGATTTACGGTTTCCTTTGCATATTCTTCGTGTTTCGGGACTCTGTTGTAGGTCTAGGTTCGTGCGAGGTAAGTTTGGCCTCCCTGAGACAGAGTCTGCTCTCTGCTGAATGGATCCGGATCTTTAATATCCTGGCCAATACAAGTGGCTTTCGTAACTTATTTCCGAAATCATTGGCTGATTGTCACGTGACT